CGCTGCTCTCCTCCAATCAGGAGCAGGTCCCACAGTCTATTGGTTGAACTGGAGGCAGCTGTGTAGAAGCTGTTTCCTCCTCTCCCAGCGCCATATTGTGGGAGAGCAGATGCATAGAATAAGTCTTAATTCCAGTAACTTAGTCTAGTCCGAGTTGCTCCCAGTTGCTCCCCATAGTATCCAATCCTGGTAAAATATCTTATATCTTATAAACAGAAAATAAAAACTCTCAGACATTGTATATATCCCTATTAATAACCACCCCTACTCTATGGCCTTGGCAGCCAAATTATCAAGAGACATCTTGTCTGTCTTCATCTCACCTTCTGCCTTCACCCACTAGTCTCCTGAAACTGTGCTGTATGGGTTGAACTATGTTCCTAAAAAGATGTGTTAGGCCTTTTTTGAGAATGGAGTTGTTGCAGATATAAATGGTTAGGATGAGGCCATGCTGATTTAGGGTGGGCCTTTAACACCATATGACAGGTGTCCTTATAAGAAGAGAAGACAGAGACTCTTCCCTAGATTCTTCACAGAGAGCATGGGCCTGCTATATCTTGATTTTGGACTTTGTGCAATGCTATGAAAGAAGGAGTTTCTGCTGTTTTAAGTCATTCCAGTTGGTGCTACTTAGTTCTGATAGACCTGGGACACTAATCACTGTGCATATCCAGGTTACCAAGAATCTTCACATATTCAAATCAAACCATTGTCTCTCCTTGTTGGTCTTAGGAGACCTCTTAGCAACCACTGGTCACACTCCCTCCTTGACACTCCTTCTTTTGTCTTGTGGAATTTTATGTTGTCCCATTGTCCCTTCTAGTTCATTTTCCCATCCTTCTTGGTCTGCATTACCAGCTCTTTCTCCATTTCTCTGTCTCTAAAATCTGATTTCATCAAGAATTCTCTTCCCTTCTTGCAATCCACCTTCCAGTTTCATCTCTTCATAAACACTGTAAGGCTAAAAACTCTACAAATTTATGTCTCTAGTCAAGGCCTCCCTATTAAGCTCCATGCTGGTGTATTTCTGTTGACTCAGTCTCTATACGTGAATCTCTGAGAACCACATGCAAACCTAATCTTTCCAAACTCAAGCTCTTGATTCCTGCCCCTCAAACTTACTTCTTTCTCTCTTAGTACATTACAGCCAATTGCTCTGGCTAAAAACCTATAATTCATCTCTGTTCCTTTTTTCTCCCATCCCAAATGTAATCTACTAGCAGGTTGTATTGGTTCTACTGTCAAAGTATGTCCTGGTAGTCTACAGCTTAACAATTAATTTACTCAGCAAATTTTTACTGAACACTTACTGTATGTCAGATACTAGTCTGTGCATTGTAGTAAATAAAATAAGTACAAGAACCAAAGACTACTGCTTGTATGGAAAATATATTCCACTGGAGAGTACCTGATTGTGAACTCAGTAAATAAGTAAATAAATGTCAGAAAGTGATGATGTAGAAGGACAAGAAGAATGAAGGTAATGGATGAGAGTACGAGACAGTAGGCAAGGGGAAGCATACATGCTGAATCTGATAATTCCTTACCATTCTCATCAGCTGAAATCTAATCTAAGCCACCATCATCTCTTGATTTGAAGGAGGCAGGAAGCTCCCCCCCATCTGCCTGCTTTCATATTTATTCCTCTACAATTCACCCTTCACACTGCAACAAGAATGATCTTTTAAAAATGTAAGTCACATCAAGTCACTGTTCTATAAAAGCTGTCCAGAAGAGAATCTGGCCTATAAGCCCTCATAATTCCTGTAGCTATCCCTTACCCATCTACTTTTGCCACACCAGACTTCTTGATATTCTTCCTACACCCAGTTTGACTCCATGCAGGACTTCGTGCTTACTGTTCCCTCTGCCTTCAATACTCCCCCTAAATCTTCACCTGACTTGTTTTCTCAATTCATTCATGATTCCATTTTAGGTCAGCTCTTTAGAGCATCCATCTGGCCACTTCTTTAAAAATAAAAATAATACCAGTCCACCATTATTCCTTTAGCCCGATGCTATGCCTCCATAACATTTGTTTCCACCTGCCATTACATTGTTTGTTTATTTGCTCATCATCAGCATTACACAGTCTACTGGGAACACCTTGAAGGCAAGAACTTCGTCTTGTTCACTGCCATATATCTGCATGTAGAACACTGCCTGAGTGATTTTTGGTGTTTAATAGTATCTGTGAAAAATAAATTAACTTTGACCCTAGCGTTATAATTTTTATACCTTTTGCTTCTCAGGAAACCTGAAGGTGACCCTGATGCATCCCTTAAGGGACAAAATAGTGGTCTCTGCAGTTGCATATTTGTCCTGATTGTCAGACTTTGTTCTCTGAGGTTCTTCCAAGTCACTTTCATCTGCAATTATGGGGACCCTGGAGCACCCCACCGAGAGCATCCCTTCTACTGCTTGACTGAAGATTAGATGCACTACCAAGTAGCCATAGATGACTTACAATCTGGCTTCTCATTTAATTCTGCCTGACTTCATCTTCTTTCTGATATAATTTTATTAAGGCCCCCAGCATCTCCATTGTATGATTTCTTTCTTCCCACCCCCATGGTTTCTGTCAACAGAGGGCTGTTTACCCTCCCCACAGCAGGTGGGGATTTAGGGTTATACATCTGTGACAATGAACACTTTTTTAAGTGACTTTTCATGTGGGTCCAGATCCACCAAATCAGATTATTGTATGCTGAAGAGACGGTAAAAATGCTTCTATTTCTTTCACCAAGACTTGATTTTCATCCAATTTTCTGGGACTTAAAACAGAAAGCTTGCTTGAGGAGAAGGTGGTCCAGTTGTTGCCTTAGGATAAAGTGAAGAACCTCCCTTGGCATTCCTACCAGTTCTATCCTCCTAAGAAAGCCAGTGTCCCTGGAGTGTTCCTGGGAGGAGTGCATCCCCATATCACCTTCTCCATGCTCATACAAGCACACTTCAGGATAGGAATCCTGTTTGGTGAACTGTTACACAAATTGGTATCATCAGCTGTCTTTCCTCACTTGCTTTGTGGACAGCCTTCCGATGAAAACAGTTCCCTTATCTGTTTAAAAGTACTGAGAGATTCCACGGTACAAGCATTGCCAGTTTATTAGCACATTCTCCCAGTGAAGGGTAGAAATCGCTCTCTGTTTGTTGTTCCCTGACAAGCCTGATTCTGTAACCAGGGTCCTACTCAATATTTTTGATAACTTGATTTTCTGCTGAATGTTTCTGCAAAAATTCTGACTCATCGTGGAGAAATGGGTTTGCTGGAAAAGTCTTTATGTGCATTTTCCCCAATGCCCTGAGTCTCCCTCCACCCTTGCCATTGATCTCATCAAATCACATGGTTAGAGAGTGGAAGGTGATGTGCAGTGGGTTTAATGGGTTGAAGACTTCCCCATGTGCTTGAAAGCAGTGTGAAGGCACACAGAAAAAGCCCTGTACCAGTGCTCAGGATGGAATTCTACTTTTGTTTCTACTTAACAGTGTGGTCCAGCTTAAGTCATTTGCCCTTGTAGGGTTTAAGTTCTTCAGATTCAATTAGGTGGTGGGGTAAGGTGAAGCTTCTCAATCTAGGCAAGCTGAGCGTCTCTCTCACAGAGCAGGCAAGGGTTCTCCAGGCTAAAAGAGAAGCAAAAAGCATGTTTCTATGATATGTGATACTGAACTGTTTTAAATTCAAACTTCCTTAGGCATATTATGGCATACAATTTAAAATCTGTATGGATAAAACTGTGACACAGGAACCCAAGGAAGTTCCCAGTCATGGTTGCTTGTTGTGGTTCTGACTGTTTTTTCTTATAATTTCTTGAAAACAAAGCATGGAAAAGAAGAATTTGGCCATTCCCCCAGCAACTCTAATGAACAGACCAGGGCAGTATTCATTCCAAGTGCACCTGCTTCTCAGTGAAGCCATAGTTAAGTTTCTGAAAAAGGATTTGAAGCTAAAGTTGAGAAATTTCAAGTCAATGAGTATGTTTTAATGGGCATTACCCTAAAACTCAGTCTTGAACTTTTCCCCTCCCATGTTACGTTACTTGGAATACTTCATTCATGTAACAGGTGTTTCTTGAATGTCAGCTCAAGGAGAGAAGCAAGAGGCAAATCATGTGAGAGACAAGAGTGAGGCCCGAGGTGGAAGTGTGTTCAGCATGCAGAGGACAAGAGGAGGCCAGTGCCTGTGCAGTGAGGAGGGGAGGGCAGGAGAGATGGTGCTGGATAGGACCCAGACCCTGTGTGAGCCCTGGCCCAGACCCATCTAAACCAATCCAGTTGCATGGATCACTTAAGGCTTCCTAGATGACTTTCATCACCAGTATGAGTTGAAAATCACTGATGTGGGGTCTCATTGGCTTTCACTCTGAGTAAGATGGAAAGGCATTAGTGAGTTTTTTAAAAACTTTTTTTATTTCTATAAGGTGAACAAATTTTATGTGTTTCATATATACAGATTTAGGAACATAATGATACTTCCCTCCTAGCCTCCCTCCTACCTACAATCCCAGCCTCCCTCCTCCTTCCTTTCTTACTTTTTCTTTTAATTTTCACAATGACATACTTTCAGTTTATTTTATAATCACAAGCTTAACTCTCCACTAAGTAAAGAATTCAACAAGTAGAAAATAGAAAAAAACCACTGTTGATGTGAAAGGCACACAGAGAGAGAGAGAGAGAAAGAAAAAGAGAGAGACAGAGAGAGACACAGAGAGAGAGAGAGAGAACTCCATCCAGATCTTCCCTGTGTGTGGCAGGGACCCAAGTACTTAAGCCATTACCTGCTGGTTCCCATGGTGCAGATTAGCAGGAAGCCAGATCAGAAGCAGAGTAATTAGGATTCAAAGCAAGCACTCCAGTACTGGATGCTGGCATCCCAAATGGCAACATAACTGCAGCACTAAACACTTGCCCCCTCCACCCTGCCTTTTTTTTTTTTTTTTTTCTTTTGGAGTTTTTTTTTTTCTTTTATGATCAATTCCAAACACAGTACAGGGAAGATGGAATGAATACGAAAAAATATCATTTTATTTCCCCATTAAACACTAAGTCATATTATTCAAAATGTGTTTCAAAATCCTTAGCCAGATAACCAATTCCAGTCACTATTTTAGTTCTAATGTTCACCAAGAAAATAGTCAAGTAACAGAAAGCCATTATGAGAAACCATCAAGAGAGAAGAGCTACATTGCTATCTATAATTTAACTTAGTAGGTTATTCTCTCAATATTCAGCAAGTTTGCTTAAAAATTACTATTCCATTAGTTTATAGTGACATTAAAAAAAAAAACGTATAATTTCAAACTCAACATTCCTTTCACCGTGAACATAAAACTTCTAAAAGATAGCTGTGAGTTGGGGTACAATAAGGACTGTGGCTGCTGGGACAGTACTGTTCAAAGCCAAAACGATTGGCAGCCTTGGAAAGGCATAAACTATATACACACACTCTCAGTATGCTACTATTTCTCATATTTTTTTCTTTGCATACTTGTCTCATAATATGGTATAAATAATTTCTTTGAAGACAATCAAGATGAATACATTTTCATCTTCATTTCAAAATAACTATTTTAAATGAAAAATTTTCTCACATTTGTTAAATATGTCTTAGAGATGAGTTTAAGTATTTTCTTCACTACATGTATAATTTTTCTACCCTATCTTAGTGCCTCATTACAATCAATTTGGCAATAAGACCTCTCTAGTACTCCATGAAAAACTGCATTCAATAGATTATAAGATCGTTACATCTGCACCCAAATTCTTATATGCTACAACAAAGTCTAAAAAATGTATGGCCATTCATCAACACCCTTGCATCAATTATTGCAAATAACCTCACATATGTATTTAATTCAAATTTTGTGGAGAAAGGGTACAAAATAAATACTACAATATTTCTTTAACTCTAATGCTGCCTAGAGTAAGATGAAAAGATTAATATTACTGAGAGGAAGAATCAAATGGCTTTAAGGTCTGTCTTCCAAGTAGTTAGAAAATTTTCACAAAACAAAGAGCCTATGCCAACACATCTTTCTTGTAGTGTAATATAATTGCTAATATGAGGTAAATCTGTAAGCAATTAATACAAACATGAGTATAAACAGGTATAAGTCACCACTAAGTCACAGTCTGGTGAAAGACTTCTCAGCTAAAGTATCTGGGGACAGGATTATGGGAAGTGAGAAGGGGGTGAACAGTTTTCCAGTGGGAATACCTTTTATGTGCCTTATCATTAGCATCAACTTATATGTAACAGTCCACTGCTGTAAAAAGGTATATCCTTTCCAAGTATGCTGGCCTAGAATATACTTTATATAGCATAGTAAGATTATATAAGAATTACTAATGCTTCATTTGCATTTATATTTGGATATACACATAATCATAAATGCATATCAAAAACTATAAACAGAATTTTAAAGTACTTTTATCTCATTTTGGAAAAGTTTACAGTTTATGTTCTATAGAATTTTCTATAATATCTAAATTCAGGGACAAAATGAAAGGAAAACATTACTATCTCTTTAGTAAATGGTTTGTGCAAGACCTCAAGCTTACTCATCTTTTTATATATGGGTTTATTTGATGAGGATTGTAATCCAATGATTGTTTAGCAGCAATTTTACCAAACTGTAAATTCTTTTATTAACAGGCATTATAAACAGATAATACTAATCTTATTTAAAAAACCATGAGTGCCACACCGGTGAATATACAGCTTATGAATAACTTAAAAAGTATTTCCCCTTTTAAAAGGCAACACACAGCATACAAAAACCTAATCTAAACAAAGAAGCTATAATATGAATACATGATTGATGTGTCTAAAATGATATATACAGTACATAATGAACGTTAATTATGTGATCAGTACATTTTTCTGTACGATTCCCTTCATGCTTCACTTTCTCCAGAAACTGAATTCTGAACTTCCTCTTCTAAAATTGGTACAATCAGGTTATCCTTGGACATCAAATTGTATTTCATCACAAATTTAGTAAACCGATGACACAAAAAGGTTTCATTTTCATATTCATCAAATATCTGCCGGTGATGAAAATAAGCATGCGAAAATATTCTATAAATCCTACGGCATACTGATCCTAGTTTTGCTACAGATGATTCCTTTATGCTAACCCTGCTAGGAAAATATTTATTGCTATTCAGAAGACATGCAGCACCATCAAGCGTGTGTCTAGTATAGTCTATAGCAGGACACTCTTTTGGAGTTTTATGAGCTGCACACAGAAAAATCCACTGTTCAGTTGCTGTCATTTGAGTACAAGTATCTGGATGGCATTCACTCTGAAGTTTGACAGCAAGTCCATTTAGCTCAAGACAGAATTGCCTTAAATGTTCATACTTCCATACACCTTCATCTTGGCCTTCAGGTGGTTCAAGAATTTTATCAATATTGGAGCAATCTGCTCTTATGTTCTGCTGAATATACTGCTGAACAGCAAGTGTACTGTCCATTTCATCAAAGGATTCATCAGGCCAATTATAGAAATCCTGCGCCTTGGTGCCCGGCCTGTTCCGCCTCAACACTGCCGTCCCCTCCGCCATGACCATAGTGCCAGAATCTCCACCCTGCCTTTTAAGAAAATTTCTATTCATCTGTGAGTTTTTGAACTCCTGTGACCATGCATCACTCTGGACTTATGTTGAGAACTGACCCCAGGGAGGCACGCATGGGTGCAGAGCAACCTGGTAGGAGATATGATGGTGCTTGGCTGCCACAGGAATGCTGTAGTCATACCATTAGAATCTGGATACACACAGGAGGAAGTGAGGGAGGGATGCAGGAGGGGAGGGAGAGAGGAAGACAAAAAAGAATCTGGATATTCTTGCTAAGGTAGAGCCACCAGGAGGAATGGTTGCCGAGTGAGAAACAAATGAAAATTATATATATATGTGTGTGTGTGTGTGTTATATATAAAAGTGAGAACAGTAAATGTGTTTTTAAAAATTTTATTTTTTAATTTTGATTTTCAATTAGTTATAAGCAGTCAATGTAACATGTAGATACAATTCTATGAACATAGTGATATTGCCTTCCTCCTTCCCTCCCTTTCCCTCTCTCTCTTGCTCCAAAATCTCTGAAATATCCCAAGAAATCCTAAAGAACACTAGCCTTTGACCATTAGTTCTGATGTTCCCTGTCTTCATGATGCAGTTTATTTTATTTCCTTGAAAAGTAGAGTTGCAGAAAGAGAGAGAGGGAGAGATGGGAGAGAAAGAGATCTCCCATCTACTAGTTCACTCCCCAGATGGGTGCAAGGCTGGTGCTGGGCCAGGCTGAAGTCAAGAGCCAGGAACTCGGTCTCCCTCATGAGTGCAGGGACTCAAGCACTTGGGCCATTCTCCACTGCTTTCCCAGGCACACTAGCAGGGATCTGGGTCAGAAGTGGAGAAGCCAGGACTCCAATCAGTGCCATAATGGGATGCCGGCATTGCACGTGGTGGCTTAACCTGCTATGCCACAACGCCAGCCCCATGATGGCAATTCTTACCAGTGTCCTTGGCCATGGCTGTTAGTACTGGCATGTCAGCTCTTTCTCTCTGGTAATTACATTGGCAGGACTCGGTCTTCCTGTATTTTCTCTTGTGTGAAGCCTGAGACTACCCTTTCAGTGAGCTTCAAAATTTGCATGTTGGCTGCAAAGAGAAAAGCCATTTACTGCTTCCCTGAGAAGTTGGCTGGCTTTTTGCAATAATGGCTTTATTTGGACACATGTACAAAGACTTAGAAGAGTAAGCACAGTCTATCAGAAACTCTCCTGAACAACTCTGCTAGCATCAGACCCTTGAAAATGTTAGCAAGTGTTGTCAACTGTATTATTCTGAAATGAGCGTGTCTTTCCAAAAAGGATTTGACCTTTACCCTTCAAAACTGTGACAGTAAAAGTCATCACTCATCTGCTTTTCCCATCTCTGGGTCTTTCTCCCAGCTCCTTAGTGAGGGGTTAGGCTTGATATCCAGGAAATAGCCTTGAAGTCCTCCGAATCAATGAGAAGCACGAGGGGAGGTGGGAGGCCGTCCCACATGTGACCACGTTTTAGGGGATGTGGTTCCAGTGCAGCCAGTCTTGGGGCTCCAGAAAGTGAAGCTCAGTAAACTTCGTGAATCCTGGCGCGCTCTCCGTGGCCAGCCCGCTTTCCAGGGTGTTGAATGTCTGGCTTGGCCCTTTGTTGTGTTTAGCTAAGCTCTCAGCCTGTTTTAACACGTGGAACCTCCTGAAACGTGAGCCAGAGAGCCTCACAGATCTAGCTCCATTTCGTTCTGGTCTGTCACTTCGGTGTTAGCATTTTCCTCACTCTTGTTTCCAGTTTGAGTTATGAAACCATTTCAGTTCGGTTTTAATAACCTCCCTGGCATGGCGAGCGCTACAAGAGCTGCCAAACTTAATACGTCGCCTCCGTGGGATGAGGGCAGCCGCTCTGGCCAGGGGACCGGGAGGTGGATTTTCTCTCAACGCATCCGTTTTCCATTACGGCCCGTCCTGACTTGGTAGCGGGAGGCCAGGTGCAGCTGGTTTCCTCTTCCACACGCAATCACTTCTGACTTCAGTTTCTACGTTTCCCCGTCTCCTGACCCACTCGTCGATCCTCTGACTGAATCGGCTACCTCAGGAGCCGTCTTCCTGCCTGAGGAGTGCATCCCGGGGCTCAGCCGCGGTGAGAGGACAGAGCTGCACGCTGCAGGACAGAACTCTGCCCGGAGACTTGCACGCGGGTTCTGGCAGCTCCCCGGCCACCATAGAGAGACAGCTGCTCCGGCCCAGAGAGTCGTCTTTGTGGAGCAAACGCAGCACCCCCTTCTGAAACCCTTCTGCTTCTGAGTCCAAACCTATGCCAGTGAGCACGGCCCTCAGCGCTGCTCCTATGCCTGCTAACAAAGGCCCGGGCAGGAGACCAGGACCCCATTGTTCATCCTCAGGCCTGCCTCACAGTCTGTGTTGCAGACACTGACACACTCATCTCATTGAATAAAGGACACAATACATTTTCATTTCTTCTGAAATGTTCAAATACATCATAGATTTCATGGATTGCTTTACAATGTAGAGACACCCTCCTACAAGTTAAAGAAACACAAGAGGTTCTAAATTTATGAACAAATAGGTTAAATTGCTTGGTTGACAAATAGAGTGGCCAGAAGAACCTTTCAATAGCTGTACTCTAGTGGAATAATAATGTACTACAATGTCTTTATTCAAACAAGGTGAGCTATTCCTGTAGCAGAAGCAGTTAGTAAAAAAAAAATAAGAATGCACAAAAAAAGGTGAGAAACAGAGCCAAAAGGCTGCCCCAAACAGGTGTATAAATTTTCGTTTGGGAATGTAGCCACCTATGATGTTCTTTGGAACCTCAGCTTAATCTTAGAAAATTTCCACTAAAAGTCTCCAAGAGAATTCAGTGATGGGGCCACGGGGTAGAGTTTCCTTAGGTTTTAGCTGATCTTGCCACACCTGTGTTTGTGGCATCTGGAAGGAGAGACTGCAAGCCCCATAGGTGGAGGGAGGGCATCCACCTGGGGTCTCATTGCCTCGCAGCTCTCAGCTTTAGGTGGTGGGTGAGTGGTGGGTGACACAGGCTGGAGGCTGCCGCTTTGGTGAAACAGACCGGGAGCGAGGTGCCGCTCTGCTGAGTGCAGCTGAAACCTCACCAGTTTCTGCCCTGCTCAGAGCAGTGTATCAGAATGCAAGAAAACAAAAAAGCTGCTAGTATGGGGAGGTATTGGGACTGAGCTCTGTGCATTTGGTTTTTAAGTTTCTTACTTAGCAGTGTTGCCTATGTTGCTATCTGCTCACTTTGACTCCTAGTGACTTGGTTTTTACAAACCTTCCTCCCTGAGACAGCTACTGGTGTAATGGGACATTGCTCGCTGCCTCTTAGCACCCAGAGCCCAACCAGCCAGGGCAGCCTCAGCGCAGGACACTTCCTGGTCTCAGCAGGTCCCAGCAGGCTTCCCGTGGGGACTGAGCCACAGGAGGCAGCACGAAGGGAAGCCTGTGGCTGGTTTTTTTCTTTGTTTTGTTTTAAGATGCATGGATTTCTTTTCTTTTCTTTTCTTTTCTTTTCTTTCTTTCTTTCTTTCTTTCTTTTTTTTTTTTTTTTTTGACAGGAAGAGTGGACAGAGAGAAAGAGAGAGAGAGAAAGGTCTTCCTTGGCCGTTGGTTCACCCTCCAATGCCCGACGTGGCCGGCGTGCCACGGCCGGCGCACCACGCTGATCCGATGGCAGGAGCCAGGTGCTTCTCCTGGTCTCCCATGGGGTGCAGGGCCCAAGTACTTGGGCCATCCTCCACTGCACTCCCTGGCCACAGCAGAGAGCCAGCCTGGAAGAGGGGCAACCTGGACAGAATCCGGCGCCCCGACCGGGACTAGAACCCGGTGTGCCAGCGCCGCAAGGCGGAGGATTAGCCTAGCGAGCCGCGACGCTGGCCATTGATTTCTTTTAAAGGCAGAGTTGCACAGATAGAAATGGCCGCAAAGGCCAGGACTGGGTCAGGCTGAAATGAGAAGCCTGGAACTCCACCCATGGACGTCAGGGGCCCCAGTTCTTACACAATCTTCCTCTACCTTTCCAGGTGCAGGGAGCTGGATCAGAAGTGGAGCAGCCAGGACTCAAACCAGTGTCCACAGGGGATGCTGGTGTCCCAGGTGGCGGTTTGCCCCCACTACTGCAAAAACATCAGCCTCTTTGCAGGGTCTTGAAACTCTTCTCAAGAGGAGTTTGAGCTGGATCTGCTGGCCTCAGGCTGCCCCCAGGCAGGTGGATACCCATCACTCCGATCCTGCCTCGTTCTGGTTTTGTTTCTTTGCCTGTTTTTAACTTATTCCCTTTCCCATGGTTTTCAAAGCACAGGACTTTTCATATTTCTGAAATATCATAAAACATCCTAATTAGTCATCTCTGTCCTGTGTCGCCCAAGATAGCTGGACTGTTGTTAAGGGTTGAAAACCCAAAGTTTCATTTGCAGACCTAGCCAAATGTATTTATGGCAAGATAAAATGACACAAATTCTTCTGCAATATTGAAAATTATTTTTAGGGGCCGGAGTTGTACGGTAGTGGGTGAAGCTGCTGCCTGTGGTACCGGCATCCCATATGGGTGCCAGTTCCAGTCCCAGCTGCTCCACTTCTGATCCAGCCACCTGCTAATGGCTTGGGAAAGCAGCGGAGGATGGTGAAAGTATTTGGGCCCCGTCACCCACGTGGGAGACTTGGAAGAAGCTCCTGGCTCCTGACCTCAGCCTGATCTAGCCCCTGCTATTGTGGCCATCTGGGGAGTGAACCAGTGGATGGAAGATATCTCCCCCAGCCCCTTAGCTCTGACTTTCAAATAAATAAATCTATCTTAAAAATTATTTTTGAATTTACCAGAAGCACTCACTGAACTTTCTGAAGGGAAAAAGAAAATATAGCAACAAAAATAAATCTTAAGAAAATGAACAATCCGATGATTTTCCGGCTCTTCTGCACTCTAAACCCAGAGGCCCTTTGTGAACTTTCCTTGAATGGAGGCTGATCTGGAATGTGGGTCGGGGGCTGCTTTGGGCCAGCAAGGTTGTGT